GAAATCTGTAAAAATCCTTACAAACCCTTCAGTATATATATATATATATCGATTCATTTCATGAAAAAACACAATCACGCCCCAATGCGCGCAAGCCTCCTGCGTTTCAGCCTCCGAAATCAGGATCGATCGGGAATCATGTCCATCACCTTTGCGCTCGGCAGCCTGGCCGGGTGATGTATGGTTGCGGTCCATGGCATTGAGGGGACCACATACATTGAATGATGACTGTCATCCATCACAATAAAATAGTTTATAGAGGGGCATGAAGCAATGTTTCTCAGCTATATAGTTCAATTTGAGCTGGGTGTAGGATGCACCTGCAAAAAAAACAAACAGTTAATGCAGCGGGGGTTGCCCCAATCAAAACTTGTATATATAGAGCTATATACGCGTATATAGAAAAGTGCAGCAGTGATCCGACACTAAACGTGCAAGCCTCGTGCGGAACATCTTGCAGCACCGCGGGCTCCGGAGATGCCAAGTCCAAGGCCTTCCATCTGGTTGGTTGTGCCCCTTAGTATATACAGCTTTAATATATGTATATATAGAGAGAGAGTGAGATGTAGAGAGTGTTCAACCCATGAACATATGGCTTTACCTATATCTTCTATAATGCACACTCTTTCATGCCAAGAACAGACAAACAGAGCAAATGCATAGCACTTCTCGTGGTTCCACATCCCTGGACTTCAGGTATACCAGGTAATTGAATTTCAAAAATACGCCAGATACAATAATGTTCAAACAATCACTCTTTGTTCCTCGATCCATTCCCTATATATATGTACACACACCCAGAAATGCCCACAAACAGAACACGACTTGTCCCAAGAGTGCCTGAAGCTGGCGTTGAAGTTCAAGCTCTTCCTCTTCCAGTTGTTTGGCTTCAGCAGACACATGCTGAACGCCATCTAAAAGAGTACTGCAACTCCAAATCCGAGATGATGTTGGTGCAGTTCGGAGGTCCACAGACATGCCGTGAACGAAACAAAGCTAGCTTTGTTTCAAAGCTCAGAACGCCTACGCTCGTGACCTTGATCCTTCCAAAGTTATATGCAATTCTTTTGGTGAAACCAACTGTGGACACTATATACCAGTCCCAAAACCCACCCGTAGCTTCGAGAAAGAACGTTGGAAGCACAAAACACAAAACCACGTTCAGATGTTCTTTCCAAAGGCCCTTCGATTCCGGTATCGATGTCTGAATTATGCACAGCGAGACCTGCGCTAGAGGGCTAAAAACCCTTTCTAAAAGCCATCATGGTGGGGCATGAAGAACCCATATTTTTTTACGGGTTCTCCACGGGTTGCCACGGGTAATCCACGGGTTCGCCACGGGTTTGGAAAACCGAGTTTTTTTTTGAAAAGCCGAGGTTTCCAAAAAACGCTACGGTTATCCACGGGTTCTCCACGGTTTGCCACGGGTAATCTACGGGTTCAAGTTTGGAACCTTACTTTTCGGGAGCAGGGGCATCCATTTTGCTTCAAACCCATTCGGCAAAACATAGGAAGTGACAGTTGGGGGGCTTCAGAAACAACAAATCCAACCTGTAAGCTCTCCGTGGTGCAGTTGGCAAGATGGCTTTGCAGAATAATTACAGACAAAAGTCTTCAATCCCTGACCCCATGGGACCGATTGAAAGGGCACAACAGAATTCTCACAACACCTTCAATCATATTGACATATGTGATTGATTCTTGGTTTTGATGTCCGCTGATTCTGCATGAAAAAGTCCATTACCAATCCTTTGAACAGGTTCACCTTTGCTACACACCGTATATACAGAGGCACAGATCTTGAGATTAGGAGGGGGCAGGGATTAAAGACGCCCATTCGGGAGGAATGACAAGGTTTTTGCCCCGCCTCAAATAGTTATACACGTCTTGAAGACGAGTGTATCCAAGGCCAAACTCTTCGTTTGGCATGGCCATCACAGACTCAGCACCAGGCGGGACATGATCAGGAAGTTGTGGCTGTCCACGTGCCGAAGTGAGAAGTTGAGGCATCATATCAACCATGGCCCTTCCAAATTGTAGTAGGTAGACCCTTAGATTCACATATCACTGATCCCTTAAGGTTTCCAAAAGCAAGAATCAAGTCCAACAGCAGTCAATCTCAGCTTCCCGTCTCCTGAGTTTACTTGAACGAAGAAAAAAGGAGTGGCTGTTCACCAAGATTGACGACGTAGTCTTTACTCCATATCGCTTTTGTTTTTTATATATATATGATACAACACTGGAATAAATTTGGTATATACAATTATATAAGATATTATAAGATCAAATATATGGGCGAGATACTCTGAACGCAAGGCAGGTGTTCCTTTGTAGCACTTTTTCCCATCCTTGTTGGTGTAGCTAACTGCTGTCTTGACCTTCCGATCACCTTTCTTCCAGCCCGAAAGAACTCCCTTGTCCAGACTGGATATCCAAGGGCTGTTGGCATATCCATAGTGTCTCTTTGGAGTCCGCGCGCAGTAGTGGCCCATCCACCACTGTGTTCGCGTCACCTCAGCAATCAGGTGTATATATATAACAAGTGCTCCAAAACAGCAAGCAGGATCAAGGTCAGATGTGAGGGAATAAACATCACACAAAAGTGCACTGCCCGTTGCTTTCCCATCCAGTTGTTTTTTTGAAGCTTATGATTGTTGCGTTATTAGCAAAGGTGTGTTTTGTGTTTTCATTCACATATATATAAAGCAGAAACCATATTATGTATATACAGGCATGTGGCCGCACTGGACCCATGGCTCTCGAACAAAGCCATCAAGAAGGTTCTAAAAGTTGGATAGAATTGTAAGCAGCTGGAATTCGGCTGTTCCAGGCCCCACGTTCCTCCAAGAGCCGTGACGAGGGTCAAGAGGAGCACAGTCCTGGGATGGCGTGCGTTGACCGAATGAATGGGGATCAAACCGCTTGTGACAAGAATGCGGCAGGATTCAAAACTTATATACGTACCTTGTGTTGATTGGTGATTCCATTTATAAGCTGGGGTGTTCTGCAGGGTGACTGGAATTAAAACTTGGAAGCCGACCTATATCAATATATGATATATAGAATGGTAAATCGACAAGCAGTACAGCACCAGCGCATGGACACCAATCCATTGTCTTGTGGTCAATGGCGTCGTTTTACCATACCATGTTTTCGTTCAGTGAGCTTCGCACCTATGATGGTTGAACAACTCTATTTGCTTGAAAGTGTCCTTTCCAGAAGGGAATTAGCTTCCAAGACTGATGGGTATTCATCGTAGCCTATTGAACAGCAGTAGCTCCTTTGAGAAGTGCCTTTGTTGATGCCTGTCCAACTGGCACACTTGATCGCAAACATGGCCAGGAATTTGTTGCGGCAGCACTTCAAGATCGTTGCCACAGCCAACCTTCAGGAATTTGGCATATGCAGTGGAGGGTACAGGCGTTTTTTGTTCGGTTTTGTTTCCTCCGATCGATCTAAATTTGTTCACATAAAGTTGTTTCAGACTGCTCGTGTGTTCATTTGCCATCGATATATGACTGTGCAAATTAAAGTGTATATATATATATATATTCAAGGCAAGAAGCGCAAAGCCGGAGACACTCAACAAATCCATGGGGTTCGTGTTGTGCGGTTTCCTGGAAGAACCAACCTGGCCACCATAAAGGTAGTCAAGTTTTGCTGCTCGGTAGCCGGACAACCTCATCATTCTAGTCAGGTTCGCCCGTCCAGCGTAGAATTCTACGCAATCAAACTCCTGCAAAGCAGCGTGTCCAAAAAACGATTCGAGGAACCCTTTACAAACCAAGTGTTGAAAGCGTTTGCAAACGCTTGATGGCAAGCGAGCTATATCGTCCTCAGACAAATTGATGGTATCCGTCCATATGACCATCAAAATGATCAGGGCCATGATCTCAGCCGTGTCAAGGCTTGTGAGGCTTTCGGTGCAGGTTTTCCATCTCGAGTTTAACCATTAAACGCACACAAAACAGATCGAAAAAAAAGCAGGAAAGATCAATCGAGAGTGGAGCATATATATAGAAGGATTTGTTTCCACAATTCTTGAGGCTCCCACTCGCGGGCATCCAAGAACACGTAATCGGTAAAGGAAAGCATCTAGCTCGGACTGTGTCATCAGCATGACTGGTCCAAGACAAAGCTTCTAAATCGCTGGATCCCCTTGAATCCTTTGAACATGAACCTTCAAAAGGCGGTAGCAAGGCATGAGGTGCGATCTTAAGAGTCTTGCATGACACTTCAACAGCCAAAGCTCTGACTAGCATCCCTATAGTGTACAAAATCAGATTCTGACATCCATGTGACTGTTGAAAGCATTTGCAGTGCTGCAGGACCGATCGATGAAAAAGCTGGAGCGCTCAGAAAACCAGGCCAGTGTTTCGAGCGGGTTTCTTTCGCTTGGATCGCACCTTGAACAATCTCCTTTTGGATGATGGAGGCATCCAGCCTGGCCAGAACAGGGGCAATAACATATATAAACATGTGTTTGAGTCGTGTTTCCTCCCATGCACCCCCCGCTGGACCGCTGGAATGACAAAGCTCGAGGATGTGTTTACTTCTTTTGAGACACTTTTTTTTCAACCACAGCTCTTCGGACATGATGTCAGTAGATGGGAGAGACCCCAAATGGATTCGGTGCTTCTTGTGTCACACGAACCTACTGAGCAGGTTTCATGGCTGGAACGTGTACCATCAAAACAACATACATGCAAATGAGAATATAGATTCATATAAAGGTACACACTGTTGTGACATAGCGGCATCATACAAGTTCTGTCAAATCGATACATACAAAAGCATAAAGTATAGGCCGATGCATATTATCAGATCACTCCCTGCTCAGATCTACGCACGTGTATAGGCACATCCCCCCGCACAAAGTATAGATCATGGAGCGAGCTCCATGGTTTCCATCTACATTAAAGATGACCGAACGCTTCCTAAATGCTGTACTGTAAAGGCAGTCTTCGCGCCTATATACAGCAAAGTAACGATAATAGTCCTCAGGCACGCCCATTCTGGAACAGCTGGTCATACCCATTGTCAAGGCACAGGAAATGCAAGGCCAACTGCCCGTTCACTCGCAGCTTCTCGATCTCATGGCCATCCTTCTCAAAGCCCGGATAGTTCGCATCCAGCCCCATAGCCTATAGAGAAAAGGAGCAGGCTTTCAATCCGTAACTTGATGCCAGTGTAAAGAAGCCATATGTACATGCCCGGGTCCATATATATAGAACAAAAACATATAAGACTTGTGCATGCGGGTGTATAATTGTTCTGAACACGTGCTTATTTAAACTGGCGGCGTTCCAGAAAGACCTGGACATGTTAACATAAATACCTGGCTCAGTACTTAAGTATTGCAATCCATTGGATCAAGTGTTATATATTTTTCTTCAGCCCTCATTCCAAGGAACCGAAAGCTCAGCGCAACGCACAGCAACAGCCGTTCTGTGACGTGAAGCTGCACGGGACGAGGTCCAGCCGAAGTGATGCATATTGACCTTCTCCCCGTTCTCATCAGGCTTTAAAAATACACCACAGGTACACTTGGTCCAGTAGATGCTCAACTGGGTCTTTTTCAGCGGCTGACAATTGCTCCTCACTTCCTTCTTGAAAGCCTCCAACTGATCAATATCCTCATACTTCACATCATACTGGTTGGCCCAATCCATCAAAGCCTTGATGATCGTGTCAGACCTCAAAACGCTCTCCAGCAAGCTGTCGATGGCAGAGCGGGCCCTTGACTTGGCCTTTGCTTTGGGCTTGCCCTTTGGCTTGGCCGCATTGGCAGTCTTGGACTTCTTTCTCGTTGGCCTTTCAGCCTCATCTTCCTCTTGCTCTTCGGCCTGATCGCCCTGAGGCAGATCAGGAGCCTCAGCCTCTTCAGCATCATCCTTGTCACTCCTTTTGCCGGCCTTCTTGGCCCGTGGCTTGCGCTTGCGTGTATTCTTGGCTTCAGCCTTGGGCTCCTCGGCATGATCATCACCTTTCAGGCCTGCAGCTGCTTCAACAGACTCAAGCGGTTCAGACTTTGGGGATGCCTTAGTTTTCCTTCCACGTCGTGCTTTGGTTGGCCTGGCCTCCAAAGCAACTTCAGGCAGTTCTGCAGGAACATCCTCATCCTGCCAAGCCTTGCTCTTGCTCTTCAAGATCTGGCGCTTGCGGGAGGTCTTTGCCAAAGATGATCCGGCTGATTTGGACTGAGTCTCACCCTTCGCCTTCTTTGATGAGGCTGACTGTCTTGCCTTGCCTTTTCTCTTTCCTGGATTGGTCTTTCGAGTTCCCTTTCCACTTTTGGCTTTGGCCTTGGCCTTGGCCTTAGCCTTTCCCTTCCGGTCATCCTTCTTCGTTTTCTTGGCTCGAAGCTGCTGGTCTCTCGACACAAAATCATCCTTGCGTCCTTGACCTGCTACAGCCTTGGACTCTTCACTGCCATTCGGCTTCTCAGGCTGATCTTCCTTCTCTTGCGCAGGGGTGGCGCAAGCGTCGGTCTTGGGCTTGGCCAGAGTCTCCTCAGGCCACGCACGCTTCGACGTAAAAATGAAAAAAACTAAAGTATATATATAGATCGAGAGTATATACCACATCGAGAGTATAAGTTGAGTAAAAGGATAAACAACATATATATAATACGTGTCCCAGCCTGTTCACCCATGGCTCCATGAGTGTACACTGTTCTATATGTACGTACATGTTCATGTTTATAGCCATTGACAGAGAAAAAGCCTGAAGGTTAGCTATATAGTGTTTGGTACAATACACACTCGACCCCCCACATGTACGAACCTATATAGTGGGTTGTATTGAAAGAAAGTCATGTGATGTGCAGCATTATAATGATTGATTTGTTTGACAACAAGGGCATTGTTTGACAAAAGGCATATAGTTTGTTTGGAACCATGGCCATATTTTGATGGTTTGTGGCTGTTCACTTTTCAATTTCATATAAAAAATTATGTTTCCTTCTCTCTCTCTCATGTTGAACACTCGCAACCTTTTATCCACAATGGGTGAAACCGCTGTCCTCGATGCCTTCTTCTTCTGCCACAGGTGGAGGAGGAGCAGGCTTGGCAGCCGCCACAGTCGAAGGAGACTCCGAGGGGGCACCAAGAAGGGAAAGAAGCGTAGGCTCACCTGGAGGGTCTTCTTTGCCCGATGCACGTCGGTATTCAGAACGCCGCTCATCCGATGTCAAACCTGGTGAAGATGCGAGTGCAGCCTTTGGAGCAGTAGCAAACTCTTTCAAGCTGGTCTCAACTTCATTCGCGGTCATCGGGAGAGTGTCCACATTGTCCATAGTTGATCCAGTTGATCCTGCATATATATAGAGAGAAACAGAGAAAGAAAGAGAGACAAAGAGAGAGAGAGAGAGAGAGAGCCAATTGGGGATTTTCGTGCTGAGGTGACACATATATACGCGGGGTGGGCAAGAAGTGTTTTAATCATTTGTGGATATACCCGCAGGTTTTCTGTGCATATATTTGGTGGTTCAATTGTGAACTCTATATAGTTGTTTTCTTTTAATTCCCTTTCCTTTTTGATTTCAATTTTGAACCCCTGCGCCTGTAGCTGGGATTGCCTTGCCAGCAGCAGCTGTCATTGCATCCTTTTTTGGCTTGAATCCTGACGTGTGGGGATGACAGGAAAGGAGTGAACCATTCCCATGCCCCATAAAAACTGAATTGTATCAGAACACATATATTATAGCGTTCAAGTTATATCTATATAATACATATATATATATACAAACACATCGATCCGCAGTGCATTCCGTGCACCCTTGAATTGCAATCCCTTCAGATTGACGGAAATCAAACAACTGAGCCCTTAACTCTGCTAGCCGCTTCAAGATAAGCTCCCTTTGTTGTTGTTTGCTGGCTTCACCTGCGCAAGAACAAGAGGGAATGCTGGATGATGCTGGATGGCAAAGCTATATATATATATGTTATAGGAACGCCATATAAGTCGGTCATGAGCAAAAGCATTGAGGTCTTGTCGGTTTTTTTGTTCATGTGAAACCTTCATTTGCATCTCCATACAACTGAATGGCAAACATGCACAAGCACATGCATGCTCAATTATATGGAGGGTTCAAAGGGTCTTTATATACAGTACATCCAAATGCCCGCCTCCAACCGCTGGAAGATTTTCTTTGGCATGTCCTGACCCCTGTGATACTGATGGAACTTCAGCTGGAACCTCCTTGTTCTCGCTTGCTGGAGCTGCGGCAGGAACCTCACCTGACTCAAGATCCTTTGGCACTTCCACAGTGGCAGCAGCATCATGGACAGGACTGGCAGAAGGGCCGTTTGCAGGGACAACCCCCCACACAGGGCACGTTGGCACCCTCCGGGTTGGGGATATCCTTGCCCACCACCTCCTCTGTCACTTCAACATCCGAGTCGCTAGCTGAGTCGTGATCGTAAGCATCGGGGTCTTCCTTGTCCACTCCAGCCTTATATGCAGCGGAAAGGGTTGTGCATTTTAAGAACGAATGGGGGTTGCAAAAAAACAATGGGGATTTATATTTGCACACAACCAATTGTTTGATCCAGTCAATACCCTTATACCTTTTATGTGTGTATATGTATGTAGCTTTGTGTGGACCAAATATATTAAAACAACCCGCATCAGCATGCAAACGTATCTTGATCGAGCTCCTTTTATAGTTGGCTTATAGCCAAGTATACGACTTGCTTGAACGACAACTCTATTCTTTATAACGTTCGCCAGGGGTCTCCCATATATGGTTAATGTTTTATATCAGCTGGCTCCCATTATATGAAATGAAATCCAAGGTGCTTTACGGCGGGCGCGCTTCTCCTCCTGCTTTTTGTTGATCGCATCGACAGCCTCCTGCGAACAACACAATTTAGAATACAGTCCCCCATTTTTAATTGCATCCATTTTTTAACAATCAACTTACATGTTCAGCCCTTGATTGCCCTATACCTTTGAAAAGATCCCAAGATATCCCAAGGGTTGGGAGCAAAAAGTAAAAAAACAACAGCTGTCTCCTGCAGATCTGGCCGGAGGATCAGACAGCACTCCTGAAATCGCGTCGCCTCAGAAAAACAAATTAACAAAAAGGGTCAGGCCATCCATCAATCATGCAAGACTCATGGTCACTTTCAACTCTTTTGTTTTGAGTATATTTAGCCCGGTGCCAAATGTCATATATATATATATGAGATCAAATGAGCAAAGATAAGACGAATATATAAGCATATATACATACCACCGCAGCATCAATTTCAGTTGTCAGATCTGATGAACTGAGAAAACTTTGCATCCAAATGACAGTGGAGGGTTTTGCTTTCCTGGCCTTCATCTTGACAAGCCCTAAGAACTTCCGCACCATCCAAGAGTCGTGGATGACATCTGTGTCATCACAAGTCCTTGGTTTGGAGCACGCCTTGTAAAGGGAAGCAATTTCATCGCGAAGAGGATCCACTGCTGGTTGCGGGGCTCCAGGGGCGCAAGCCATGCGGGTCAAAAGTGGAACCAGCAAACTAAAGACGTGATCTTGGCACGTGGCCTTCACGCTTTCCTGCGAATTCTCAGGAAACAACACAGCCCCTTCATCCTGCAAATGTGTCCTGATATTTTTTCATTTTCCCACTCTCCAGCGAGCCCTTCCAAAGGAAGCTTGCCCTTTCCTTCTGCGTCAAGGCTTTGGGATGACATGGCTCGATCGACTTTCAAACCAGGCTTTGCCACCAGCGTGTTTTGGGCCAAAATCTATATATCGATCCAACAATGTGGTCAAGCACTGTTTGCAAATCTATATAGCCTCGACGGCATATATATATATATATATATATGGCCTGAGTCACCATTCCCATGGCCAAACCATTTAACACGACATAATAGCTTTGGCACATTTTGTGTCCTATATACGTTGCCACTCTTTTCAAACATCCTTTGTTTCCACACCCGTGTCCACTGGCAGGACAACAGCTTGTGACGCCTCGTCCAGCATCAGAAAAAAAGACCATGGCTGCAGCCGTTGGATTTCTGGTGTGTGCTTCAGGCCCTCTTTCAAAGGGTATAATTGCACATCTTGTGATATAAGCTGGCAGGGTTGTGGGTCCTGTTTGCCACAGCCCGGAGTGATATGAGTCTATCACATGGAGGTATATATGCGATACATGAGCACATGAATCTACATATATAGTGGTGCTGTGGGTGAGCAGCCTCCTCACATATAGCCAAGATGATCCAGGCCTGCATGTACGGACAGAGCAAGACGGCAGGAAGAACACCTTCAAGTGGTTCAATTCTGGTCCATTTCTGGTCCTACAGAAAAAAAACGGGTTTTTTTCGTGAAACCCGAGCTTTCTTCCATGGATGATAGAAAAGCCGAGTTCTTCAGCAGGAACCCACACAAAGTTAGGTTCTTGAAGCTGATGGTACTAAAGTTGTACTACAAAGTCGCCAGTTCTCAGCTTCCACCTCCACAGCTTGCTCCGCTGCATTTCGCGCACTCGGCACGCACGATCTCCGTTTCGCGCACTCGACGCGCACGATCTCCGCAGAGGGTTGCGCGGTAATTGCACAAATCGCGCTCTCGCCTGCGTTTCGCGCACTCGACACGCGCTCTCGCCTGCATTTCGCGCACTCGACACGCACGATCTCCGCAGAGGGTTCTGCGGGCACCCGGCGCGCGGCG